AGGGCTTCCCCCGGCCCGTGGAACAGCGCCTGATGGCAGCGCGCAACCGCCAGCTGGCACCAGGCCGCGTATGGCAGGCACTCCTGAGCGCGCAGCTCGCGGCCCAGCTGACCGAACTGCTCGCCGGCCTCCGCCACGTTCGGCTTCCGCAGGAACCGCTTCTTCAGCTTGTTCAACACCTGACGGTACCTGGCCAGAAAGTCCCCAGCATCAAATCCCAGGCCTGAAAAGCCACCTAGGCCGCTCACGTACGCCGCCATCTTCCCAGCCCAAGTGCTTCCTCTGGGCGGAATTTGAGAGTGCGGGAGGCTAACTGCAACTTGCCCTGCGTTCCGCTGGAACCTCCCATCTTACAGAGCCGGCACTTTTCACCCGGTTGTTGCCCTGGTGATATGTAAATATAGGGTGGCTGGGGCGGGGCCTGGACTTCTGCAAGGAGCAAACACATATCCTGGATCTGGGGGCAGGGCGTGGCCAGGCACCCTCTGTTGCTAGGTGACAGCTTGTTTACCCAGTTTGCTACCAGTGTTTCCGAACATCTCTCGGGGAATGGAACCAAAAATAAACTCGTGACCTGGCGTGACCCTCATTCCCATTTTGCATCGTTCTTGCTTGTCCCACCCCCCATCACACCTCAATGTTCCCGTCAAATCCACTGCCCCATTTGGAGTCCATGCCAACCGCTCTGTCCACGCCTCCATTCTGCACCCGGGTTGGCATTGCACGGTCACCCTATCACGATGCCTTCGTCATGGCCTTGCACTCCACCCCAGTGAACACCATCCTCCTGGGGACTTTGCGGGCCTCTGACTTGCTCAGAGGCAATGGGGGAGTCTTCCATACCCCAGCCTCAACCCCACCGCAGCCAGCCTGTCCCATCCTGGACCGCCCCCTGCACTGTCACCGGGAGAGGCTGCTCCTCTCTTGCCATCTCCGACTCAACCCCCGCCCCCGGGAAGACACCACCATCAGCCCCATCCCTCCAACGAGTTATGTCCCACAAACACCTCCCACACAGTGACTGAAGCAGGCACATGGGTTTCTTTCAACACTTTATTTTCAATGACTTTGCCCAAGGCACCAGGCAGGCTCAGGCTGCCTGGGCTGTGAGGGGGCCTGGCGTCCTAGGGTCGAGGCCCGGGGAACCCATGCCATGCTGGGCAGCTACTGCCAGCCCGGGGCCACTTGGGATATGGTGGTATTCCCAAAGAAGCCGCTGAGCAGTGCGTTGTTGTGGATCGCCATGTCCAGGAGCTCCGGAGTGATGCGCCTGCGGCCGATTTTCTGGGCCTCGTTGCCCGCCAGCTCCAGGACGGTGGTGGTCAGGTACTCGATGATGGCCGCCAGGTACACGGGTGCGCGTGAGCTGAAGCGCTGGGCATAGTGGCCTTCCCGCAGGAGGCGCTCCAGGTGGCTCACAGAAAAGGACAAGTCTGCTCTGGTAGACGGGCTGCGGCTGCGGTTGCGGTTGCGGTTGCTGTTGCTTGTGCGGCTGTGGTTCCGCCTCTGGTGATCGGAGGGTCCTTCACGGCTCCTTTGCCCAGACATGCTGGGCGTTAGGTGCACTTTCTCCAACCGGCCTAGCTCTGCAGTGCGGTCAGGTGCGGTCAGGTGCGGTCAGGTGCGGTCAGTTGCGATTCGCCAGTTGGTCTCAACCGCTCAAGATAGCCAGTACAGAGGCTCCCGCTCAGTGTTCTAACGACCACGGACCGGCCCCTCATTGGTCGAGGCACAGGCTCTGTGACCTACAAGTTCGGTGAGGTCACTGCTTTCCCATTGGCCCCGGCGGGCCTGGGCCTGCAAAGAAGGGGCGCTGGTGGCACCCTGCTCACCTTTGCTCACTGGACCCTCTCTTTGAGGGAGCTCCCACTTCCCACTGGACCAGAACCTTGTACAGAAAAAACAGCAAACATGTATGACCCAGTGGCACCAGGTGTACACTCGTTGGACGGCCATCACAACTATCTAGCTGTTGTGAATGGCACTGCGGTGAACATTCTTGTACAGGGTTCTGTTTGAACACCTGTTTTCAGTTCTTCTGAGTATACAGCTAAGGGTGGAATTGCCAGGCCATATGGGAATTCTATGTTTAACTTACTGAGGAACCACCCAACTGATTTCCACAGTGGCAGTACCAATTTGCACTCCCAACAACAGTGTATGAGGGTCCCAATTTCTCCATACCCTCACCAAAACTTGCTATTTCCCTTTTTGTTTTGCTTATAATAGCTATCCTAGTGGGTGTGAAGTGGTATCTCCTGGTTTTGATTTGCATTTCCCTCATGGCTAATGATGTTGAGCATCTTTTCAGGTGCCTCTTGGCCATTTGTACAACTGCTTTGGAGGAAGCAGATGCACTTTCAAATCCTTTGCCCATTTCCTAAACTGGGTTGCTTGTCTTTCTGTTGTTGAGTCGTAAGAGTTCTTTATGCATTCTGGAAAATAGGCCGTTATCAGACATATGATTTGCAAATGTCTCTCCCATCCTGTAGGTTGTCCTTTCACTTTCTAGATAGAGTCCTTTGGTGCACAAACGTTTTTGATTTGGATGACATACAATTNACTGGTGGTTGCACATTGACCTGGGTTCCTGCGACTTCGCTGAACTCCTTTATTGTATATTCAAATAGGTCCTTGTGTTTTTGGTGTATTCTTTAGTGATTATATATATATATGAACATGTCATCTATGAATAGAGACAGTTTTATTTGTTCCTTTCCAATCGGAATGCCTTTTATTTATTTGCCCTGCCTACTTGGCCTGACTAGAACTTTGAGCACAATGTTGCATAGAATTGTCAAGACCAAACACTCTTGTCTTCTTCCTGATGCTAGGGAGAAAGCACCCAGTCTTTCACCATTGTGAATGATGCTATCTGTGGTTTTTCATAGGTGCTCTTAATCACATTGAGTAAGTTCCCTCCTATTCCTATTTTGTTGAATTTGTTTTCGGGAAAGGGTGTTGGAATTTGTCAAATGCTTCCCTTTCCCCTACATCTATGAGATGATCTTGAGGTCCCCCACCCCCTGCATTCTGTTAATATGGTGTAATACATTAATTGATTTTCATATGTTACATTCATGAGATAAATGCCACTTGGTCAGAGTGTATAACAAATGGCCCATAAACCTTTTGTTCAACGTACAGGTGTGGATCAGGCAAGCTGCTTGATGGCAAGTGTGTGTGTGTGTGTGTGTGTGTGTGTGTGTGTGTGTGTGTGTGTGAAGGGATGTGTAGCATGAAGAGAAGCCGAGACATTTTGGGGAACCTGCTATTAGTTTACTAAGGCTGGAGAGTAGGGTGCCCATGGGAGAGTGGTGGTTGATGTGGCTGGAGAAGAGTCTGGCAGGAACCAAGACACAGAGGTTCTGGTATGCTGTGCTCAGGTTTTGGAATACCCCGTAGGCTATTGTGAGCTCACTGTGGTCATTAAGCTCTAGAGTGGCATGACCTGATTTGTTTCCAGAAAGATCATTCTGGCACCTGTGTGAAGAATAGAACAGAGAGAACTGAGATGGGAGTTAGAAAGCTGCTGCAGTAACTTAGTCAAGAAATGATAGATATTTTAAAATATGTCTTTATTGATTTCAGAGGGAAGGAGGGAGGGAGAGAGAGAGGTAGAAATATCAATGATGAGAGAGTCATTGATCGGCTGCCTCCCGCACGGCCCCTACTGGGGATCGAGCCTGCAACCCGGGCATGTGCACCCACCAGGAATCCAACCTCCATCTCCTGGATCACAGGTCGATGCTCAACCGCTGAGCCACGCTGGCTGGGGGAAATGATAGATATTTTAATTAAGATGATGGTATTGGTACATAACTCCACGGGACAAATTCAGTTTTAAAAAATAATTTGGCCGACAGATTTTTTAAAAAATATATCTTTATTGATTTCAGAGAAAGGAAGGGAGAGGGAGAGAGAGGTAGAAACATCAATGATGAGAGAGTCATCATTGATCATCTGCCTCCTGCACGCCTGCAACCCGGGCATGTGCCCTGACTGGGAATGGAACCCTGATCTCCTGGATCCTAGGTCGATGTTTAACCACTGAGCCACGCCCAGCAGGGCTAAGCTGACAGATCTTAGAGGGGAGGGCTTTGGGAGGGATGGGAAGAGATTAACCAAAATTATATGCATATATGTATAGCCCAAGGAATGGGGGAAATCTGTAATACTGTCAACAATAAAAAATAATAGTAAGTTGGTTAGTAAAATGGCACATAATAGGTGCTTGCTACATATTTCTGATACCATTGACCCCAGCTGGAGACTTGTTGATTTTTTTATTCATTCTTTCAACAAATCTTTATTGAGTGCCTACTCTATGTTTGGGACTGTGGTAAGCATTGAGGAAATACCAATGAGCAATATAGATCAGGTTCCTGCATGTAGTCTGATGAAAAATATATAGACAAGGAACCTGACAATTAAAAAACACACAACACTATATTGTGATAAGTGCTATGAGAAGGGAAGTTCAAGGTGCTATAGCAACAATAATTTACAAGGAGTTTGGTGCTTGGGACATATTCCTGGAGAAGTTGGTGTCCAAGCTGAAGAACAAATATAAGTTAGCCAAGTGAAAAAGTAGGGCATTAGTGGGGGAGAGGGAGGAAAGCTCTGGCATAACTCCTCGAGTGCAGGGTGAGGTGACTACAGACTTTGGAGCCATTATTGGATATATGGGCTAAAGGAGAAGGTCTAGGTCTTGGTGGGCAGATGAGTTCAGTTTTGAGTATGTCAATTTGAGATGCCCGTGGGATATCCAGATGGCGATGAAGGATAAATGGTGTGGGATTTCAAGAGAGAGAGAGGTCAGGGCTGGAGATATAGATTTGAGAGTCATTAGGATAATTCTTGACATGGATGTAGTAGATCATGCAGGGAAAGTGTATAGAGAGAACATAGAAGGGGACCAAGGACAACTTCTCTTAAGGGGCAGGCAAAAGAAGAAAATTCTTGGAAGGAGACTGAAGGAGTGTCTACACAGAAAATAAGAGAGGGCTGAGAGAGAATCAAACCAGAAAGAAAAAAGAGCGAAGGGTCAGAAAAAGACAGATTTCCTTTTGATTCTTTCTTATCTTTTCCATCTGGTCTTTCATTGTGTCTACCCTTTCCATGAAAGTCCTTAACATAGTAATCATAGTTATTTTAAGTTTCCTAACTGATCATTTCAACACCTGTGCCATATGTGAATCTAGTTCTCACAGTGCTTTGCCTCTTCAAATTGTGTTATTTCTTGCCTTTTAGCATGTTTTTTAATTTTGTTGCTGTTGTTAGAGGCCAGGCATGTTGTATAGGACAGTAGATACTGAGGTAAATAGAACCTTAGGGTGAATATATCAGTCTGACCAAGAGATGGGCCCTATCTGATGTTTGTCTCTGTGAGTAACAGAGGCAGTAAATTTCTCTAGTGATCTTGTTTTTCTCTCCCCTCTTGGTCTTGGCCCTTCCCTTTGTGCTGCATCTCAGAAACACTCTGCCTCTTGCAGCTTTCCCAGCTGTAATCCACTTTTATTTTAACTGGAAGCTTATTAGCTGGATGTAGTGTGTGGGGAAAGAGGGCATTCTCTTAATCCATTCTTTGGATTAAGTGTCAGTCTTTGGACTGTACAGTGGCCCTATGCCTTGGGAGTGTGGCCTTCACAATTATTTTTGTCCCGTTATTGGGTGTTGTGGCTTGAACTGTATGCCCCCAAAAGATGTGTTGAAACCCTAACTCCTAGTGCCTGTTAGTAAGACCTTATTTGGAATTAGGGTCTTTGAAGGTAACCAAGACAAGTTGAGGTCATACTGGATTAGGGTGGCCCTAAACTCAACAATTGATGTCCTTATAAGGAAAGAGAGATTTGAAGACACAGGAGAGACACAGGGAAGAAGGCCATGTGATGATGGAGACAGAGAGTGCACTGATGTTTCCACAGGCCAAGGAACATGAAGGATTGTCCGCAACCACCAGAATCTAGAAGCAAGGAAGGGCTCTCTCCTAGAGTCTTTGGAGGGAGCATGGCTCTGCCAATGCCTTGATTTCAGATGTCTAGCCTTCAGAACTGTGAGAGAATAAATGTATGTTGTTTTAAGCCAACTAGTTTGTGGTAATTTGTTATGGCAGTGTTACAAAGCTCATACGCTGGGATAAAGCTTTCCCCCCCTCTTCCACCTAATACCTTTCCTGGCTGTAGCATTTCCAGTCTATGTCTTTGAAACCCTCTCCCTTGTACAATGAGGCTTTTTTTTCCCTTCCTATTTTTTCTTACATGATACAGGGAGATAAAGTGGGGCTGGAGCAAGGCAGTGTTCCCTTTCCCTAGCTGGGATGACATTTTATTTTTGTCTTTCTTGCAACCCGTAGGATAACCTTGGAAACAAATGGCTAGTGGTCCTCAGAAAGTATTTTCAGTCCACATAAAAAGTATCTATTATTGCAAAACAATGTGATTATATTTAATACTATTGAACTGTACACTTAAAAACGGTTAAGATGTTAACTTTTATGCTGCTGTTTTTTATTACAATTAAAAATAAAGGATTTGTCTCTACACATCTTACCAAGACGATCTTCATGTTGCCAAGCAAAATTCAGAGACTTGAAGTCTGTATGGTGTCAATGGATGGTTAATGGAAATAAGCTTTTGAAGTTGGGCTGTTGAAGGGCCCAATGTATGACTCTTCCCTTCAGCAGGTTCTGGATCCTGCTTTGTATGTAGGACAAACTGTGGCACATCCTAGAAAATTCAACAATAAGAAAGAAGAGTTAGTAACAATATAAAACAACTTTCATGAGGCCGATGGAATACACTACAGAAAAAACTGTGGAAAAGAACAGTTTAACTATCTCAACTACACAGGATTAAACAAAGAAGAAATTCTGAACAGCTAAGCAAAAGTAGCCTATAACCGTTACTTCTGCTTATTCACCAGCCAATCTGATTTTATGCCTTGCAATATTGCTTCTACCCCACTATCTAACTGAGGTGGTTCTATTTATTTATTTAAAACTGTTTATTGAATTTATTGGTGTGACATTGGTTAATTAAATTATATAGATTTCAGGTGTACAATTTTATAATAAAACATCATCTGTATATTGTATTCTGTGTTCACCACCCAAAGTCAAGTCTCCTTCCATCACCATTTATTCCCCCTTTACCCTCCTCTACCTCTCTCCGCCCACCCCCACCCCCCTTCCTTTCTGGTAATCATCATACTGTTTGTTGTCTGTGTCAATGAAGCAAACAAACAAACAAACAAATGAAACACCCAACAACAACAACAACAACAGAACAAAAATACTGAGGTGGTTCTATTTTAAAATTCACTAATTTTAACCTTCTAACCACATATAAGCATTGGTTTTCAGGTTTCATCCTTCTGGGCCTCTTCACTTGTGATAGTATCAATTGCCTTCTCCCTGACTCCTTGGAACTTTCTTTTCCACTCATTATGTGTGATTGTGGGCAAGTTACTAAAACTTTCAGTGACTCCATTTCCTATTTTGTAAAGTGAGGACAATAATAATACTTATCTCATGGGTTTAGTATGAGGAGTAAAG